CACACACACACACACACACACACACACACACACACACACACACACACACACACACACACAGGTGTTTATTATACGCAGTGTGCTGATACTTGCTTTTATCTGTGGATTTCCAAATGTGAAGCATTTTCTAAATGACAATGAAACTATTAATATGATTTAAAGAAAACGTAGCTGATGCACTGTCCATTTCTCTCTCTCTCTCTCACTGTTGTTTCTGACTGAAGCTGTAGAAAACACCAGCAGAAGAGTGACCCATATCTGACTGACAGTATGTCGCCACTTTACCAGATTGAATGTCTTATAAGGGCAGAGCAAACCTAGCTGTCGAACTGACACACAGGTATGTGCTCGGTGTTACACCCAGCCTGCTCTGATTCTCTGTCCGACCTGCAAACAGCTGAGCACGACCTGCCAGTGACACATAGTGAAGTGTTAAAAGATCCTACTCCACATCTCTTATTCAACAAAAATGACAAAATTAGAAAAAAACCAAACATGGGCATTTATTAAAAGTTTAGTGCTACAACATTTGCTATTTACTGGCAGGTGGTGGGAGTGTAACATCGTGCTGTTGTTTATTAAGAACAAACTGGATATCAGCCAATCAGGTTTGAGACAATTGCAGGATACAAACATAAATCCTGACTGACGTGGGCTTTACACTTCACACTCTTTGCACACTGTAAAACATCACAACTTCCTGTTTCATAAAAGTAAAGTCATTTTAGCTTTTGACATTTTTGGTTAGAGATTCAGTTCCTGATCTTAAGAATCTATGTGCCTGAAAATGAAGATAGGTGATCTGAGGCAGCGGTCCCCAACCTTTTTTGGGCCACGGACCCGTTTAATGTCAGACAGCCTTTAAGGTGTCGCGGATAAATACATAAATAAAACGATACGACCGAGACAAAAACTGTGGTATTTTGTAAATATAATAATAAACACAAATTCACGGTGTAATTGTGTAACTTTATTAATGGTGTCCACCTGAAATGCACCAACAACATTGAGAGTAACACCCTGCTCTCTGCCCCTTAATGCTCTCTGGTCGCTATGGTAATGTGTAAATATTTCTTTCAAAATAAGACACAACTACAAATCTGTCAGTGCGCCTCAGGGTGGCTGTGGCTACAATGTAGCTGCCATCACCACTGTGTGAATGGGTGAGTGACTGGATGTGTAAAGCGCTTTGGGGTCCTTAGGGACTATTAAAGCGCTATACAAATACAGGCCATTTACCATTTTACAACACAGGAAAAGACCCAGGGAAACCGAGTTAACTATAAAAACCCTGAAAACCATAACTTTGCCCCCCGAGCCTCACGTGGCCCGGTACCAAGCGACTCACGGACGGGTTGGGGACCACTGATTGAACAATAGAAGGCTCAAAACCGTTGCCTGGTCTGATGAGTCTTGATTTTTTCTGCAACATTTGGATAATAAAAACTGTTTTAACCGACTAGAACTTCAATCTTAATGTCTTGAACTTATATATCAAAGTTTGAAGCAAATAAAAAAACAACAACTAGAAGATGCAGTAATTATGACTTCTTGTAAATGCAGAAAAATACATTTTTTAAATCACTTTTTATCCTTGTGCTCCACTTCACCCACCCATCTTCTGTGTTGGCATCCCTTTCTATTCATGTTTTGTGTCTGCGTTATGGTCTGCCTTCATAAATGTACTTTAGGAGCTGAGTACATGGAGAACGTGCAGTTTGTATTGAAGTGAATGAGAGCTCAGCTGTGGAGTATCCATCGATTAGGGTTTCAAATTTGAAAACATGAAACCTCAATTTAGAAGCAGCAGAACCTCTTTATCAGCAATAATCAGAGTTGTGTAACAGTTGAAAGCTGATCAAACACAACACTGGAAACCACTGGACGTGCAAAGATGGTGTTCCTCTGCTCTCTTAAGTTCACCCTGTGGCTAACAGTCTGGTGCTTTTCCCTGAGGAGAAAGGTAGCAGTCGCATCAGCCAGCAGAGAATACAGAAGAGGAATAAGATGCTACGCTAAGCCCTGTTCCACAGGGAATAGAACCGCCACCCGTTAGTGCTAGTGCCTTGCTTCTGAGGACAAAGAACCTCAGCTGTTAACATCAAGATAAATCTTTAACCAGCGGCTGAAATATTCATCAGAAGCTCCAAAAATATCTGCAGCGGCTTCCACGAGCCAGGAGTCGTCTGCCTTCTGTTCATTAGACACATGTAACCTCCACCTGCCATCCATGCAGGAGTCTTGGACTATCAGCAAACCAGCAGAATAAATTCACATGAGTGTTGGAGTCATCTCAGCTTCAGGGTTGTGTTTCCTCACATCCTGCCCGTCTCTTACTAGTACCAGACAAAGACGGAAGTGCAAAAAACTGCAATTCCTTTAATGGCCACTTGAAGCTGCCTCTAAAAATGAGTGAATTATCATAAACTCACATGTTAGGAGACCTAACAGCCTGGTAAAGAAAAAAGGCTCAGCCTCTGTGGACAGCTTCATCCACTCATCCAACACTGGTGTTAGAGGGGCAGTTGCTGAAGGTTAACCACACTGTTGCGTTAGCAAAAGCGCCACCACCAGAGGGCACTGTGAGATGCCTCATAAGCCGGACAAACTGTGCTGACAGGAAGAAGCTAAATATTGGAAAAGTTTACCAATGGCAATAAAGGGGAGCTCTAATTATCCCACATTTAAGACTCATCTCAAACAAAGGCCGATCGTCAGTGTGTACAGTTCGTAGTTTCAGTACCTTTAGTTTGTAGTGTTGCTGCAGCATTACTGCGTTCTGTCAGGTTCAATCCTTGTCTCTCCATTCTGTTTGTCACTTGTAGATTTTTGAGACAATGTGGCAGCCTGGACAACAGCCTGCAACACAGCAACACAGCAACTGTGAGGCAACACAGCAACTTGGAAGCAACGACAACGACAGGAAGACGAAGATGCTCTCAGACCTTGAAGCTTCTCTTCCTCTTCTGGACGTTTTGCTCGGGATGGAAAACGATAACGTAAACTTTGGGCATGTAGAGCATCCCGAGAGAGACGGACGCACTGAGAGACATGGAGACGGTCAGAGTGGCTGTCTGGATGAACATCTGTGGAAAGAGAGGCTGATGCTGAAGAACGTTTGTCCACGTAAAGGTGACCTCTGTGCAAATTCATTTCTTTGACTTCTAGCAACCCCGACGTCCAGCAGATTCACCAACAGTCACGATTTTTTAAACTTTTCATGGTCGAGGCAGATTTTTTTAGAACTCCAATCAGCAGAAAATTGCTCAGCGGGATATCGGTGAACGCCCGGAGTTCGATAAGCCTTTGTAACAGCCTGAAAAGAAGAATTTCAATCAATTTGTGACCAAATCAGGCTTAAAGGGACATCTTTTTAAAGGTCAGAACTGGGCGACCAGTTTGCTATTCGAATGTTTTACTGGTGAACCTGTGAAATATGCAAAAACACACACTGCAACACGGAGGTGTAATACAGTACTGGGTGTTGCTGTGCAGTTTACCAGTTTATGCTTCACGTGAAACAGGAAATTTATCAAAACAAGTAGAAACATAGATGGAAACACAGAAACTAAGACAAAAACTGAATTTGTACAAGACTGACAAGCTGGAAAATAAAAGTTTGGTACGAATACTTTTGTTCTTCAACACATGCTGAAATCTCGAAGGCAGCTTTCTGTAATTTCTTTAAGTAGTCTTCAGGAATAATTTGGTACCTCAGCTTCTTCTTCCTGTCTCCCTTTTTACTGAGGCTTCATTGAACAGTAGACAGATCAGATGAAGGTTCATCTGCTGTAGATGTTTCTATACGCCTGTCACTTCTTCTTTTGTCCTCTACTTGTTTAGTTTCCTCAAATTTGCAAGAGAACTGCTCATGGTGCTGAGATATGCCACGTTTTCAGCTACAACCTCTTTGTGAATCACCTCGTCGGTGCATAAATAATATTTCATGCCAGTCAAACTTTGTTATCTCTGCCATTTTGCCTATTCAGATTCAGCTAAAGAAATGTGAGTACATTGTGTGTTAGTAACAGTGCTTAAATATACAAAAACAAAATTGTCTGTTATGTGTAGACACTACACTTCCATAGAGAGTTTTTATGCCTGAAGGATTCATTGGTCAACATTAAGATCTTTAATGAATAAAAAAATGATGAGGTACAGAAACTGGACTGAAAATGAGAGAAAAAGCAGCGAATGTCCAAAGAAAAACCTCTTCAGAAAGCCTGACGAGCGATGGTTCAAGACCAGTTTAAAGAAATAACTCTGGCTTGTTGAAGCAATAAACAAAGAAAGGAAGAGTTCAGGACATTTGCACAATGCTGTGTGTGACATGTGAGGACATAAAATACATACAGCACACACACTGCAGCACGCACAGGAACCCACAAACACAGTGCCAGCAAGTTTCCACCGTGTTGCTTTATTTAAGTGCGTGTGAACTCCTGCAGACATGTTAATTCCCTCAACCACACAGCTGTGTTTCCATCACTTCAGACGATATCACACTAAGCTGGATTCGCTTTCTGGGGTCTGACCTTCACTCGAAGTCTTACTGCTGAACCGCAGTGATTTACAGGAACCTGTTTTTGTCTCCAGAAGAGAGGCGAGTGGCCACAGTGTGTAAACAGATTTATGTCCCCACAGTCAAACCACACACGCTCCCTCTCTCTCCGTTAATCCTCCTGCAGCTCTGTGTGCGTGTTTGTTCTCTCGGCCTCAGATAAAAAAAAAAAAGACGACAATAAAAACAGCTTCTTTTATTTTCTCCTCCATCCAGCATCCGTCACTCCTCGACTCTGAGGCAGGAGGAGGAGAGACGAGGAGCGAGGAGGACTGAATGTTATCAGAGTGAGGCAGGAGGAGCAGAGGAGGAACAAAAGAGGAGGAGGCGGAAGGATTTTAATTCTAATTTTAGTGATTGCTCCTCCACAGTATCGCACACTCTTTCCTGGATTTTACACAAACAAACAAACAAACAAACAAACAAACAAACAATCGCACTTAATGTAGTTTTAGCGTTTCTCGGTTTCCGTGGTGACGGCAGCTTATTCCGTTCAGGCTGACGGTGACAGGCAGGAGCCCGTGTGAGCTGATCGACTCCAACACGGAGGAAATCTGGCTCGTGCTTCACCTCTGTGCTGTTTCTGGCAGCTCTGGTTGGTTTTCAGCTGGAAGGAGGGCTGCTCAGTGCAGGTCTAATGAAACACCTGCCAGACTGGCTGCTGTGGTCTGCTGTACAGCTTCACACAACATGCAGACAACATGTCACCAAATCATTCAGCAGGACTGCAAACTGTGCTGTTACCATGAAAGTTTGGCCTAAGCGGTGACCTCAGGCTACAGGATCCAAGCTATTAAAGTGGAAAGAGCAGAAGCAAAAACACACGAGGATGGTCTGCTCTGTATCTTTATGTTTGCACTCGTGTTAAATCTCTTCTTCCCAGAAGCCTCTTTTCTTCTTCCCCTGTGGTTTCCTCTCCGCTCTGAGATAAATCTGCTGGACGTGCTTCTCTCTGACGCTGCTCTTTCCTTCCTCTTATTTTAGTCTTTTATTGTCTCTTTTATCTGTTTGGTGGAGCTCTTTGTAACTTTGGTTTAAAAAAGTTATTCTATAATTACGTCCTGTGTTTGTCCATAATCTGTATAATCCAGCTGTTCCCCTCTCAGCCTGGAAATGCCTCCACTTTGTGTCTAATTCTGCTCCGGTTTATCTGCAGCATTAAAGACTCGTCCCTCCCTCAGCTCAGACTAAACCACAAACACTAAAACCCGCTTTCACCACATTTCTGGGTCAATTCACAGTTTAAATTTTCCCCTCACAGGAAACAAAAGCAGGAGCTCGTCGCTCTGCAGGTGAGGACGTATTTGTGTTTCCCCGTGGCTGTAAATAAATAAGCCCAGCGTTTAGGCACAGCTCACGATTATATCACATGACCTTTCTTAGCGTGATGATGAAGGTCCTATTGCGGACATGCAGGAAGGACGAGTTCAGAAATGAGTTCAAGCACAGCTCACCAGAGTTCAACAGTGACTCCTGGTTTCCTCCTTAAAGAGTAACGAGATCCTCTGAGGTTCACCGTTTCAGGTTATTTGTTAATGAGAGTAAAGAAATGCATTTTTTATATTAGCATCAAAAGACTTTTTATGTGTCTGCTGGGTTCAATCTCCCTGACGGTCTGTCACAAGAAAAACTGAGGATCTATTGATGTATATAACAGATGAAGCCAATATGATGTCAGCCATACCGTTCACATTTTGAACCCTGTGTGTTAGACTGATATTTGGTAATTAGTCCATAAAAAGAAAACGAATTCGTCCAATCAAAGCACAGGCTTCCTGCATGGACATGCGTTTGTCTGATAAGTCCGTCACAGAGCAGCACCAAAACATGACAGAGAAGTTCGATTAACCCCGAAAACAATATGCTGACAAGACAGTCAGCCTGGTACCGCCCGGTCTGACCAAGTTGACTGCAGTTCTTTGAATGTCCACCTGAGGCTGCGTCCAAAAGTGAATCATCTTCTACAAACAGGAAATTAGATCAGAAATAAACATGTTACAACCTGCTACATAAACGCCTTTGTAATCCTTAGGTTATTTCCCCCCACCGTAACAGCAGTATGGTGGCTTTATTTTTATGTAATTCAAAGATCTACATATTATTAATACATTATGCATTTTAGAAGCACATCTGCTCAGACTCTCTGCTGAACTTCAGCTAATATGTGCCAGTGAACTGGGTCACTTCACTGTATTTGTGCTGTTGGTGTCTTGTGGAGTATTCTTAAAGCCATTATCTAACAGATAATATAACGCGGTGTGATTAACTCTAAAAAGTCTGCAGTCTAGTTTTGGTGAGTGAAACTCCAGCATCTGAACGTCACGTTACTCAGCATTAACTGTGTGTAAGTGTGTGTATGTAATGCACTCCACCACAAAACAGCTCTATGCAAACCCGTAAGTGAGGTCACATGATTATATCTATGTTTTTGTACGTGCCTTCTTAAATATACCTGATTCTGGTTGCAGCTTGACCTAGCTTGGCTCGGTTTGGCCTGGTTCTTACCTTCTCGGTGGACTGTGCGGTACCAAAGAAGATGGGTACGAATGCGAGCCAGACGATGCAGGTTGTGTACATAGTGAAGCCAATTGGTTTTGCTTCGTTGAACGTCTCTGGAACGCCACGACTCTTCACGGCGTACACCGTACACGTTACCTAACAGCGAAACAAGCAGGATTGAGGTTGCCTAGCAACATCGATGAATCTGTGCTCTATGAGATGGTCATTGACGTATCTGCTACAGGTCAGTGTGTTACCATGAGAACGATGCTGTAGCTGAGGCAGCAGATGATTGACAAGTCAGACATGTCACACTTCAGGATCCCCCGGGCCAGGTCAGGGTTCGGAGGGCGGAGCTCGTCATAATCGATAATGGTGTGAGGGGGGACGACGCCAAACCACACAAACACACCGAGGACCTGCCGCACACACAGAGAACAAAAAGTGGGAATCATGTGAGGAGATGCTATAGGCGGAAACAGGAAGTCATGTGGACTCACCTGGACACAGATGAGGATGAAGGTGATGACCAGCTGGGACGTGGGGCTGATGAATTTGGGCGGGGTCACCGACCTCTTGCCCTGTTCAAAGATGCGGTAGATGCGGTTGGTTTTGGTCAGCATGGCAGAGTAGGTGATGGCCATGCCGAGGCCCAGCAGGAGGCGCCGGAATGCACAAACTACCACACCTGGCTCGGCAATCATCAGGAAGGTGATCAGGTAGATCAGGAAGATACCTGCAGCGAGCGAGAGAGAGGGGCGGACAGGTGACGGCACCCTCATGATGGCGTCATCATCACAGCTGATGATGTAATTACCGATACACACCTGTCAGCAGTACATAGCTGAGCTCCCTCCCTGACGCCCTGACAATGGGCGTGTCATTGAAGCGGATGAAGGTGATAACCACAGCGCTGGTCGCCAGGATACCGAGCATAGCGAGAGAGGCAGGCACTAGGGCCCAGGGAGAGTTCCACTCCAGTTTGATGATGGGAGTGGGACGGCAGGCGGTTCTGTTGGGGACCGGCCGCATGTCTGACGGACAGGTCTCACAGTTAAACTCATCCAGCTGGTACTGATACCCATCACACAGCTGCAGACAGGGGAGAGAAACTGTTTAGACTGAAGAACGACTGTCATCGGTTTTAGAAGCACAACATTCAAACGATCAGAGAAAAGACAGGTTAGAAGACAAACTCGAATCCAGTGATCCGTAATGTGCAACACTTGGTGCCAGTGAGGGGAAAAAAAAAATCTTTTTAACAGGAAGAAAACTGATGAAGCTTAGTGCTTGAGGGCTTTGCATGTCAGCAGAGTGATCTTATATTAAACTGTAGTCAGATTTTGCTGGGACAATATTTGATTTCTAGTTTCTGCTGCAACGTCTTGCATCAACTGCAGGCTTTCTCTAAGACAGGATGTTCCTAATTTTAATAATAGTGCACAGATAAAGCGAAGATGATCTAAACAGCAAATTAATTATAAATTCTCAGAATTCAGATAAAAAGATGCATGCATGCTGCACGTTTACCTCACAGTGCCAGCAGCAAGGAACCCCCTTCACCATCTTCTTCCTTTCTCCTGGTTTACAAGGAAAACTGCAGATGGACTCTGGAACGGATCTATCCCCTCCTGACCACTGCATCTCCTCCAGCTACAGACACCCAGGAAGAAAGAGAGGCGTACAGCCACACAAAGAAAGACAGAACACTAAAACCCAGCAGGAGTACTTTCATGTTCACTCTTCTTACATTGAGTCTCAAATTGTTGGTCCACTGGCCGATGACATGGTAGCCAGGGTGGCTGTGATTGGTCATCTGAAACTGGAAGATGTCGTAGCGTCCAGGAGCGTCTCCGTTCTCGTTGAACAAAACGCTTGTACCAGCACTTCCTGCGAGACAGACAGGCCACGTCACCTTTAACAGCTCATCTCTGTGAGGCCACATGTGGCATCTCCACTTTAAGGGGAAACAGCAGCTACACCCAGCTGCACAATAACTACATTATTTGGCTGATAGAAAGCTGGACAAGACAGTTAAAGACCCAACAACTCAGAGTGTAGCTAGTTAGGACACTTAGCTAAAAGTTGGTCATTCTCACATGGACGTGGACCTGAGCTGAAAGAAATAGCAGGAACATAATCCAGTTTGACAGTAGGACAGAATGAATCAACATATTAATGAACCCAAAGGGAACACTGAAGCTTCAGGTGGAGGGATTTAAAGGATCAGTTTGACAGAGCTGGACTTCCTGCTGGGATTACCTCTGACTTTCAAAGCTCTGTGTTGGTTTAACTTTGGTTTAACTGCTCTTGAGGTCTATCCCAACACAAGCCAACCTGCTGGTCTTTTTGCATTTGTGCATACAGACAAGACATCAGAAATTCATGGTTGTATTAAATCTGATTTTATCCTGAGATCTCAGAGAGCAGAACTACCTTTACTGCCTGTAACTGCAGCACATTCACTCAACTCTCACAACTCTCTCACTAGTCCTTTAAGCAGAAAGCTTCTTCAGAGTTTTCAGCAGCTGCATCCTTTAATTATTAACACACACACACACACACACACACGGTACATCAGAAAGACCGAGTCCACAGGGGAAACAGGCAAAGTGCATTAACTTATTATCTCTCCGTGACTCTGAATAAAAACAAAAACCAGCTGTGGAAATTAAACCAACACCTGAACCACGCAGCGATCAGAAGATCGAGAACTCCAGCTGATCCAGAACGTGTTGTCCTCGTAGAGTCATTTCCATTACAACTTGGTAATAACATGGTGACAGTGTGGTAATAAGCTGAAACAAGGCAGTAATAGTATGGAAACAAATTTTTACCTCTTAATTACTGGAAATTGCCAAAGTAATATCCAAATATTTATCTTGCATCAACAGTGGTTTTAGCTGTTTAGTGGTTTTATATCAGATTGAAATGTATGTAACTGGGTAAGAACAGGTAAGAACGAATGCCTGTAATGCAATACCAGTTTGTAGTAGTATAGTGATGTTTTGGTAACAACATAATAACCTGCCAGCAATAAAATGGTAATTTTCTATATATTGACATGTGGCAATAACCTCATAGTATGAGCATAATATTGGTTGATTCCATACCATATTAGGATAAATGGCATGGCCTGTATTTGTATAGTGCTTTACTAGTCCCTAAGGACCCCCCAGCACTTTACACATCCAGTCATCCACCCATTCACACACACATTCACACACTGGTGATGGCAAGCTACATTGTAGCCACAGCCACCCTGGGGCGCACTGACTGGCACACTGGCGCCACCGGGCCCTCTGACCACCACCAGTAGGCAACGGGTGAACTGTCTTGCCCAAGGACACAACGACCGAGACTGTCCAAGCCGGGGCTCGAACCGGCAACCTTCCGATTACAAGGCGAACTCCCAACTCTTGAGCCACGATCGCCCCGTGGCTCAAGATATTATTACCATGTAATAATGGTTGAATAAATCCTACCTTATGTCTGCAGTAGTATTTTTTGTTTGAAAGTAACTGCATTTCATTGCCCTGTACCAGTGCATGTGCAATGACAATAAAGTTGAATTCTATTCTATTCTATAAATAATGTGTTTAACATTGTGTGATATTAACTGAAAACATGCATGGTGGTCCTGTTTCTGTCCAATTCCACATTAAGAATGAACAATGAAGTTTTGCATTGTTTAGGGAATTATAAATAAACGATCACATGTGTTTCCAGGTTATCATCATTCTTCTTGAGGTTTACTTTAATAGGCTATTAACATGGAATTAGATATAAATGTGAAATTTTGACTCTTCACGAGTCACTTTATAAAAATTTGCACATTATGCAAAGATATTGTCATTTTATTGGTAGCAGGTTATGACATTGTTACAATTATATTACTGTCCTATAAAAACTGGTTTTTCTTCAAAGGCATTAATTTATTATAACATTATTATCCCCAGTTTCTTGCCTATTATTACATAGTTACATAGATTTCAATGTAATAATATTATCCTCCCCAGTGTTACCAAGTGCTCCTCAAATGGGATTGTCGATCATTGTGTAGTTCACAATAATGTTATAAAGACTCGGTTTTACAATAAAAAGTACCTTAAACTGGTCATTATTGTGATTATTACTGTTAAAAATAAGAATTATTATGATTTCAAGGCACTTTATATTTTTTATATAAATAAAACTTGAAAAATCAGAGCAAACAATCCCCCTTCAGCACCCGCTGCCCATAACACCGAGGTTACAGTAATAACCGAATATATCAATATATCACCAGGCTCTCCTTTAAAAGCAACTTTCAGTCTAAATGAAGAGAACATGAACTCAAAACACTGCTCCTCGTATTCTGTTGCTCTTTATGATGCAATATTTTCATTATAGAGAAAAATCCCAATATTAGTATGAGAGGGCCTCAGAGATCACATGACCACCAGGTGTCTGTCTGCAGGATTCACCTTTGGTTGTGTTGTCCCTGTTCAGGTTTGTGTCTAGTCTCACAGAACCAAAAATCAGCCTTTCTTAAAGTTCAATCTCCTAAAAATCACAAAGAACCATAAATGAGAACACAGTTGGACTAAAATGATAAAATATTGATGATTTGAAGAGGATGAAGTGTATGTAGAGGGAGACGAAGGAATGAGAGAGAGAGAGACAGGCGTGCTTTGTGGCATGCAGCTCCGGTGGTTACAGATTAAATCCTCTCGGTCTTCCAGCTGCTGCAGCTTCACATCTTTATAAAATATGGATTCGATGTCTAACAGGAACAGTTTGTTCAGTTGCTTGAAAAAATAAATCTAAAACCTGGTCCTGAGGAGTTTCTGTAGATGTAGAGAGATGCTAAAAAAACAAAAAATAAAAACCCATCGATGGGGTTAGATTGATTGGTTGATTCATTCTAAGTTGCTTACAGGTGTGAATGTGAGTGCCAATGGTTGTCTGTCTCTTTGTGTTAGCCTTGCATCATATTGGTGACCTGTCCAGGGTGTACCCTGACCCTGTGGTAGCTGGGATAGACTCCAGCCCCTCTACAACTCCGATAAGGATACATGGAAGAGAATGGATGTTGGATGGATGGATGGAGACTCCTTCACTGGGACCGTGAAATCCTGCAGACCACCCGGCTGGTGTCCCTGATGTCTATGAAATGCTAACGGTTAAAAATGTGAAACTCCTCTTGAAAATTTAACTAAAGTTGCCGTTAACGCATTTATGCAGCATTTATATAGATTAAAATGTCAATCATGTATATTTAATCTCTGTAATATTCTGGATGTTTCTAATTGAGCTATTTGTAAGCATCAGAGCTGTTTCTTATATTCAGTAACTTTGTAATATGCTGTATTATTTCATTTAGTTCAGTCTGTTGCTGTTCTTATTGTCTTCGAGCACCTGTAACCACATCATTTCCTTATGGATTAATAAAGTATTCTGATTCTGATAACAGAAAGAGTTTTTTGTAGCTTCTCTCTGGTCAAAACTGGTTGTGATACAACGGCAAAAACTGAACTGTAGACGTGTGAATGTTGATATTGATCCACAAAGATTGGAGATCAAACTGCCTCTTACAAAAGTAGAAACAGAGATCAGAATGAAACACATTTATCTGTTTTTTTTTTTTTTTTAAAGACAACTAACAGCAGCATGACTGTGGACAGACGTGCACAGGCTGCAACACGAGTTATTTAAATTTCACTTCTGTTTCATTTGTGGCACGCTGAACTTACAGACTCAGGAATGCTGCTTGATTAATGTCAAGTCAATTATTCCAGTAGGAAACATGGAGGATTCTTGTTATTCTTTCCATCAAACAACTTGCTTAAAAATGTGTTTATATCATTTTATTTGACATTTTATTCGATGCAGAGATTGTAGGAAGCAACTCCGGAATAAGGAATCATTCTTATTAGAAACTAATGAAACAAAGATGTAACTCAAGCCGACATCATGCAGCTGACGGTTAATCAACGTCTAAATGTTTGATGGCAAAAACAGAAAAAAGTTCATTGAATTGACTGAAACATATTTGTATATGGATTAAAAGAGAGAGAAAGGCTACACTGCAGTCATACGGTAAATATTTTAGTCAGAAGATTATTCATCTGTCTCATGTTCATGTTGTGCTTTATTTTTTTTCTACTCTTTTGTCCTTCTGTGGTCAAATTGGGTGTGTTCCTGGGATTTGGTGGCATCACTGAAGGTTACTTGGCAGGAGCTTCAGTTTTTGTTGTGTCTGTTTAAACATGATAGATTGCATAAAAATGGTTGCTTTAAAAAAAACAACCCTCAGCCCTCGAGGTCACTGCTTGCTAAATGTGAGCTGTGCAGCTTCTTCTTCCACTCGTGTTGCACTGAGAGCAAACTACACAATCCTGCAGTACTAAGTCTACAAGCAGTACACAGACAACCTGGACATGTTTATATTCACTTTACTACCTTTTAGTTAATTTCTTTAGGAGTCCATTAAAGACCCAACAGCTGGAGGAAAAGCCCATTCCCTGCTATAAACTCTCACTGTTCCTCAGTCTGAGTGTAGCTCTTCTCCCCCTGCATATGTTTGATTTATGAAATCCAACGTCGTTTCACCACATGGCACACCTTTGACTGCCACATTCATTGTATCGTCCATTTGTGTTAACATTAAGCTCTTAGTTAACATAAATGATTCATGAGCCTCCTCCCTGTGTCTCCTCTCTGCCGTGATGCTTCACAGTCAGGTCCCGAGCCTTCAGCATCTTCAGAAGAATCTTGTTCACACCTGCAGACTTACATCAGCACACTCTTACGTGGATATGTGTGAGCTTTTCTCTAAGTCTTACAGATTAGCCTTCTCTATTAAGGACAGATCCGTCACTTTCAGGAGTTCCTCAAAGGATTCTTTCCGCTGCTTGTCAGTTATCCCTGGTCAGTGCATGCAAATCATCTTCTCACTCAAAACAGCCAGGACTGATTCTGCCCTGAAGCTCTGCTCCCCTCTTAACCTCAGTGTGGAAGATGTACACCTGACCACATCCTGGTCCTCAGGTGTTTTGGTGCTTCAAAAATGCCAATTTAATGTTTACCACCCACATATGACAGCATCCGCCCCTCGGGCCACTTGTTTTTCTTATTACTGCCACGTAGTGTGAATCCCAACCTTGATATCTCCGGAAAGGCAGTCCAGCTGCTCTCCAAGGGTTTGTTTCCAGAGTGCGGAGACGAATGAGACCCAGTTGGCATCGCGTTTTTTCTCCAGAGAGATGATGTACATGGAACCAGTTTTACAATAGCAACCAAACCAAGCTCTCTGCCCATTCCTCTAGCAACCACAATGCCTCACGAGCCAAGGTTCAAGACCAGGTCTGAGTATGGGGACACATTCGTATCCTTACTTCAGGTAAAGCACTGTTACCGTAAAACAGTGTAATGTTTTGTCTGCGTGTTTTCTTACCATTGAAGTTGACGGTTCTGATGTAGTTCAGCAGCACTTGTCCCTCCACAGGGTCCATGTTGTTGCAGACTCCGGAGCTGCCGGGACACATATCCTGGTGCATGTTGTGCAGAGCGTGAGCCATGGCGTAGACCGCATCGATCACAAACTGAACCTTTCCTTCCTGCTCGTAGAGCGAGTCCCGTCCGATCCTCTCGTCACCTGCAGGAACACACACTGTGTCATATAATGGGAAACTACTCGATAAGTTGACTCACAGCTGGTCCCAGACGCCCTTCAGGTGTAGCCACACCTGTACATTTCTTCTTATCGGGGTCCAGTTTGATTCCAGGCCGGGTCAGTTTACACCTGAAATCGTCTTCCCAGAACTCAGCAAACCAGATGTTCCTGCGGTTGTTCTCCAGGGAGCGAGTCATGAAGTACTGATCAAACCCTGCACAACAAAAGTATAACACGCATAAAACACAAACAGCATCGAGTCTGAAAACGTCCAGATGAATCAACTTTTTGGGATTCCAGCCTGTTGCGTTTTTGTTTTCTTGGTTTTACCGTCAATCGAAGCCCGCTTTGGCAGGATGGTGACTGCACCCTCGGCAACATCCTCCAGCTCAGTGACCGGTGAGCTTTTTGCACCCCAGCTGTCTGACCCCACAAACAGGAAGTGGCCCGTCAGGTTAGCACGTTTTGCTGCCTCAAGGACACGCCTACCAGAAAGAGACAGAAAGAATCAGACAGTAAGTGATGTGACAACACATGAGGATGAGTCCGCTGCCATTGCTACTCCTCAGCCTCTGAGCAGACACACATATGGTATCAATTTCAAAGTCGCCTCATTCCCCAGAAAACTTGACCTCTGACCTTGAGGTCAAGGTCAAAGAGATTGGAACTCATCTGAGTTTTTAATAGATGCAACTATGGTATTAATTTGAAAATTCTGACTTCCTTCTTGAGTTATCGCATTAACAAGATTTTCAGAACACTTCAAATTCCATCAACCTTAAATGGTTGAGAAGTAAAATTAAATCAGTTAAACCTGAGAAAAGTTCCAATAAGTTCTTCATATTATGACAATGTTGTAAAATATCTGCTGGTGGTTTTTGGAGGTCACTGGTTTTTCATAGTGTCTAATCACCTGCACTGCTGGTCAAAACTCCTGATCTGGACTAAACGTAAAAGGATTAATGGACTAAGTTGTGGTCAGGTTGGGTTTTTTGTTAAACAGACTTATAGGACCGCCCACTTTCATCTGTGCAATATTGCCAAAATCAGCAACATCTGGTCTCAAAGTGCTGATGAAAAACTAGTTCATGCATTTGTTTCTAAGCTGGACTATTGTAAGTCTTTATTATCCGGTTGCTCTAAAAGCTCCATGAAAAGCCTTCAGTGGACACAAAAAGCTGCAGTGATTACTGAAAGGGACTAGAAATGGAGAACATATGTGTCCCATATTGGCTTCTGTTCATTGGCTCCATGTTAAATCGTTTTCCTCACATACAAAGTTTCATGATCAGGCTCCATTGTGTCTCAAAGACTTCAAAGTATCATATTATACCAAAAGAACGCTTCGCTTTTAGACTGCAGGCTTACTTATGGTTCTTTAGAGTTTCAATAAGGAAAATGGGAGGCAGAGCCTTCAGCTATCAGTGGAGCCAGCTCTCAGTTTGGGTTTTATTGAAGGTTAAAGTAAGTGCTGAATCAGCTGATCCTGAAGCATCCCTTATTTAAGCTCCCATATAGGATTGTTGAACCTTCCTATAATGTCACCAGAAATGGCTGCCCCTGGTGTGTTGGAGATCTCTTCTTGTTACAAAGGAGTTCTTCCTTCCCACTGTTGCCAAATGCTTTCTCACTGGGGATTGTGTAATTGTAGTTCTCTCTTTAATACTTCATGGTCCTTACCATACAGTGAGACAGTTATGAAATGGACCTTGTTGTGAACTGTTGCTACATAAATAAAAAGGGGATTTCTACAAAGTGATGTTTGTGTGTTTGTGTGTTTACTTGATGTCATCCTCATTGGCAAAAATGATCACGCCTCTGGCATTACTCGTCTCCATCAGACGTTTGATGATCTTGTCAAACTCTCCAGCTGTTGGCTCGCGAGGAATCTTCACCGACTGAGCGATACACACCCCACCTGACATAAAAAGAAAGATGTTACCAAGAGATGGACAGATCAGGAAAAACACGCAAGTTGAAAGAAAGCTCTGTGTACCAGCCTCTCTGGAGATCTGCATGAAGGCGTCGACTCCGCTCTCTCCATAGTTACCCTCCGAGGCCAGGGTGGACACGTAGTTCCAGCCCATGGCTTTGACGATGTCCAGCATGGCCTGAGCCTGGTATGAGTCCGGAGGAACCACCCTGGAGAAGTAGTCGTACCGGTTGTTATCACTGAGCTCCGGAGCTGTGGATGCATAGCTCACCTGAGGGATCTGAGAGACAATCATCCAACAGGTGACAGGTTTAAACAGAATCTGATCAAAGACGCGTCCTTTATCCTGACAGTCAGCGCTCAGGTTAAATTAAACACACTGGTCAGACTGGAGACGCTGCTGGAGTTTAACAGGCCAGGAACACAATACGCACACACGCACGCACATAGAGGATTAATGTTGTGTAACAGCTGAGCAGAATGTGTGTCAGAGCCTCAATAAACAGAATAACAATCACATTAACGCACAACACTGCGCCTGTGTGTATGTGTGTGTGTCTGTGAGCAAAATAATGAAGGTCTTCACATTAATGAGAGCAGACCTCGTTATGACAGCCATCATCATCATCAGGGAGAATCCTCAGTGGAGCGAAACAGACATGAACTGAGTCTCACTTTATAGCCTTCACTTTTATCTCTGCACTTAATTTATGTCAACAGTGAGCACCTAGGAACGCTCCATGGCACCATCAACCCCCCACCAACTCTCTGTGACATCACCTAGCAGGGGTGCAGGTCTGTGCTCAGGTGGTCGGGTCCTCTCAGCTTTCGGTTCTCTATAAAAGAAGGCGTTAACGCAGATAACGCTGCTTGCAGCTAATTGACCAGTTTGCTAAATTTGGTAGCTATGGCTCATGGGATCAATTGGGTTATAATTGTAAGGTTGAACATGAAGAGGGAAATGAATTTAGACCCCTCCCTGCCTAAAGGGAGGGGCACGGGTAAGGAGGTGAGGTGGTTTGACACTTGGCTGTTCTAGTATACATGCAGCAGTGTCTCTGAGCACGACACCCATCCCAAATCATGAGCTTAAAGTACGTAAATGGAGAAAATGGCTTTCAGTGCACTTTCCATTCATCGGTCAAAACATAACAGTCATGATTTAATACAGATGGGGCTCCATATGTGCCAGAAGCTGACGTTTGTAATGTGTGATTACGTGTATTCTGCTGGGGTTTGCTTTAAAATTCAGCTGCTGAAAATATACCCGTTGCACGTGTGTGTGGTTCACGGACACTCAGTCAGGAGTGTAAACCCGGTTCTAGACTGAACCTTCAAACCCGGCTCTGAACGCTCAAAAACCCTTTAAAAATCTGACCTAATTTGAGGACACACATCTTCACAAAAACGCACACAGAGAGCACCCGTAACAGAGTCATTAAAAGCTTTCATTAGAGTCAGTCAGTCATCCAGACACAAAGTGTCTGTTTAAAACATTAATCCACCAACCAGACGGCTTCATCCATTCACTGTCTGCCCTACTGTACCTGTCTGTCTCTAAGAGCGTATGTTAAACCAGATTAGCCATCCTTATATATATATATACACAATCCATAAGAAGTTATGGGTTGTATAGAAAACATGGGCGTGATCGTCGTGACATCACCTACTAGGTTGTAAAATCAACGCCGTTGCTGTCTTGGTCGTTATGAAAGAGGGGCGGATCTGACTGAGAAACCAAACAATACTGCACAATCATCTGAAAGCATACCTTTGAACCCAATGCCCTTTCATGTTTTTCTAACAAGAGCCACTGCCTGCTGACCACAAAGCTCTTATAAGGAGGGCAGTTTTAAGATAGTGGTGTCTTCCTCATCCACACCTAGAAGATACGTACATATTGTATATGCATGGGTCTGTGGGTGAAATTTGTCTGTGGCATCTGCAAAAAGCACCATTACAACACACATGCACAATCAGCCTACACTTGACTGCTCTTAGTTTTGCACCCAAAATGGGAAACCTGAACTATAGATATTGAAAATGAAAGCCAGACACCACATTTAATTATTATTATACAGTCACTCTTGATATATGACAGAGAGCGGCGATCTAAAGTGTACTCCTACATAAGTCGATTAAGTTGATGCAGCCTATTTGAAACCAAAAGAAACAACTCAGAGAAATTGTACAATTCAAAAATGCTAATCTATGGAAGTTGCGGTGGCGGGTATACTCATATTCATCATTAAGAAACCAAGAACAACTTCAGGCTTCTTTTTAACACCAAAGGGTCACAGCTCTGTTGAGCCTTGCATTGCTTTAGTTCTCAGAATTAAATACTTTATGAAGTTCTATATAAATAAAGGCTGTGGTTAGTTTTCTGATCTTCAGCTGCTTCCTGCAGATGGCCCAGATACATCACCAAGCACAGATGCTTGCTTCTAAACCAACCTCAGTATTCCATCCAAACCCGGCTCGGGTGTGAAATTTATGGTTTTGAGGGGTTTTGTTGTTACCTCAGTTTCCCTGGGTCTTTTCCCCTGTTGTAGTTTTGTGTCTTATTTTGAAATAAATATTTACGCATTACCATAGTGACCAGAGAGCACTAAGGGGCAGAGAGGAGGGTGTTACTCTCAATGTTGTTGGTGCATTTCAGGAGGATGCTGCTAATAAAGTTACACAATTACAAACAGAATTTATTATTATATTTTAAAAAAATACCACAGTTTATGTTTTGGTCGTATCATTTTATTTTGTTGTATTTATCCCCAAACCTAAAGGCCGGTGGTGAAAATACTGTCTGACATTAAACCGTGCGTGGCACAAAAAAGTTTGGGGACGGCTGGGCTGCATATATAAACCTTTAACTTTGAGCCTTTTTGCTGATATCCAGCCTCTAACGCTGACAGCCTCTAACTATCTCCTCAAAGACTCACACATGGACTCGTCTCCATATTTGTCCTGCTGGATCTCAGTCCTGCATTTAGTTCATGTTAATGAAGAATGATGCAAACAGGCTTCTGTGATAGAGCCGGTACTTTTTAAACTTTACAGGTCACAGTCTGGGTCACGGTCGTATCGTCAGCGCTGAATGAGGTTACTGAGATCCATCCATAAGGTTATGCTCCAATATTGCCCAGACTGCTGGGGGGCTTCTTATAATGCACTCACCACCTCAACCAACTCTGCTGTCTTTTGCTCTCCCTGCATTCATGTGTTATTAATAACTATTGAATATCATTAACTTTGCGTTTTTGGTCTCCTGTAGTTTGTGCTTTGTCACTGCTATTCTTACACCTCCTCGTACTGGTATCATCGGCTCCTGGGCTAAATCAACAATGTGTGTTATTATTATTTTGTTTGTTGTCTCCCTATGATCTTTTCTAAGTGTGCTCGAGGCGGCTTCCTGTTAAAAGGGTGTTTTATTCTCCCTCATGTTGCTAATAGGAGAACAGTTGGCCTTCTCTCTATAGAGTCCCAGGGTTTTTATCTTGAAATAGAAACTGCTTTGAATGGATCAGTGCTGTATAAATAATAAATAAAGAATGAACTTGAAAAAAACAAATCTAATTCTGCACGTGTTTTTCAGACCACCATACAAATGAACACACATTTTAATTTCACTTACATGAAGAATTTATGTCGTTCAAAAATGAAATAAATAAATAAACCATAAAGTAAAATAAAAAATAAACTAACAAATTCTCAACTTTCTAAACAATTTTTGTTGTAAATGATGATCTAATATAAAATAAACTGAACTTCATTCTACACCTGATTTAACTCACACTGCTGTGTTCTTGTTTCATTATGCAATGGCAGTATCCCTTTGTTAACTGTGCAGAGTCTAATCTGACTGGGAAATTATACTTATTGTTTTGTAATTGTAATCTAACAAACAATAAGGTCTCCATTTTTGGATTTACCAGATTTAATCTGACCAACAATGTTGGGATTTTGCCCAGCTTTTGTGTTTGAACTCCTTCCCCTCCACAGTTGCTTTTCAAAAATTATTTTCTATAAATTCAAACTGCTCAAGAAAATCCACCGAGAAGCTCTTTAACATCCAAACGATGCCAGTGATACATATACTCCAATAGCCACTCTATTTCTTGTTCATTACCTTACTTTAAAGGGATCCCAGTCCATATGTGCACCAGTCTCCAGCACCAGTGTATGTTTATGAAGTCTTTTTGCAACCCCATATAATCTAAAACAAGACATTTGATGTATTTTGCTCTGTGTGGAGTAAATACTGAGTAATCTCTCAGTTTTTAGTTCAATACTTCACAACCTCCAGTTATTTTAACCATCTTTAGGGCTAACTCGCTATAATCTCTATATTCATGCTGTATAAAGACAGGTGTGCTCTTACTTCAAAAAGCCGCAGGATGTTGGCCACCATGATCGACACAGAGCTGGCTGATGCTCCGATCACTCCCACCACCCTCTCCGGCTTTCGGATGATGGGCGGCTCGCCATTGGAGCAGCGAATGTCGGATGTGTCTTTCTGGATTAGAGCCTGAACAAAGGTGAGTGACTGTTCCAGAGCGTAGGTGTCTCTGGAGCAGGTGTCCAGGATCCGGGCCCCAAGTGTGATATTTGGCAGCAGCTCAGGGTCGCTGTTAATCTGGTCCAGAGCGTACAGCATGGCCTCCATGCGGTGGATCCCCTTTTCCTTCTTTAGCTCCCCACAATTTACACCATGGGGTCCGCGGGCATGGATGGGGAACAGCCCGCCCAGAGTGATGTCACCTGGTATCTTTATGGAGTGGGGGTGGAAGTGCTGGTGAGAAGCGCTCACCTGGACCACCTGTCCATCAGTCCAGAGGCAGAGAGATAGCAGGAGGCGGGGCCACAGATGATATTGGTAGAAAGTGCAGAAGAAGACATGAAGGTAATGAAGATGACAATGATGGTGGAGGGGGAGAGAGGATAGGGCAGGGCCTGATGATGTCATACTGAGGTGATGTTCAGAACTGAGCTTTCATCCTGCTGTGGAAACCTAAGGAGACAAGAAACAGTCAGTGGTGTCAGTAACTCCACTACGACTCAAAGGTTGTCCTGGTTTTTGTGAAGAAAATAAGACCTGTGTTGATCTAATATAACCTGAAAATGATCAGAACTGTTGCATAATAATCATAACTCATTAGACAGTTCTCTGTGTAGGCATACAGAGGCAATATTTCACTACATTAGGAAAAAATGTGTCTAGTTCAGAGTCAGAAGAATCAGCTTGTGTGGGTTTGATAACGGCCAAAAGGATGGCGTGAACTTTATTTCAGCTCCATGATGGAAATTAACAAAATGAAATAAATTTGATACAATTTGTGTTTGCTGTGCTATCACACATCACCACAAAAATGTGATAAGCAAAATACAAGCAGAAATTGGCACAGGTCTTCAAATGGCTGCTTCATTAAATGGTCAGAGCCAAACTCTGCGAGGCTGTGAAAGGACAAGCGCACAGTTTAGCTTTTAGGGGCATTTTGAGGCTACAGTCAAACCCACAGTTGCTTCACACACTCAGTTCGCCAGATTTATTACTTCCTCTTTGATGATCACAGCAGTTTTCAGCTGTGCTAACATTTTAAAGAGATAAACTTTATTAGCAATCACGGTTCCAGTGGAACAGAGGAAAAGCTGCCTCTGTTCTTCTTCTTTCACCTGCTCTCTTTTGGGGTCACCACAGCAGATCATTACCTCCACTGCACCCTCTAAACCATCCCCTCAACACTCTGCATGTCCTCTTTCACTGCATCCATGAATCTTCTCTGTGCTCCTCCTTTTCCCCTGCCCGGCAGCTTCATATTCAGCATCCTTTATCCAATATATCTGCTCCTCTGCACATGTCCAAACCTTCTCAACCTCATGTCTCTAACTTTGCCTCCAAACCGCTGAGCTGTCTTTTGCACCTTGCACCACCTCTTATCCTTTTGTCAGTGTCACTGTCTCCAAACCTCCGTTAGAAATAATAAACTATCTAATGATGAATGACTCCAATAATCACTGCCATTTAACACACTACTAATCAAATTAAAGTTGAATCAGATAAAATGCTCCAAATCTCTAAGCGCTACTGTACTCTTTATTTTTTGCTCCTTCAGCAGTTTGACACATCGTACGTGGCAGATGAAAGCACCAGAGAAGACCAAAGATAAGCTTAATTGCATGTTTCAAACTCACCATAAAAAAAAGAAAAACCGCTTTTTACACAAATTAAACAAAAGTGCGAGCCATGTTAACGAGACTCCAGCTTCACTCAGATCTTTTCCTCCTCCTTCCTTCTTGATTTTCCCAGAGGAACACTTCCTGATTAGATTAGCAGTCTAGTAATGATCAGATGATGTATTCTCACTAAGCACTCCCTGGTAAAGCATTATCTCTATATTCATGGAAAAATTTTGTTTCCTAGTACTGAAAAAAAAAAATGCAGACTTAACCTTTTTTACTTTTGAGTGAAAGTCAGAAACTTGTGTCTGTGCTGAATTTAATTAAGGATGTTGGATCCATCAGCAGCTCAGTTTGTTCTTGAAGTAGAAAGTAAGTTTGATATGTGTCATATTTTAATCTTAAATTAAGATTTTATTAACAGGATCATCCAGTGAGCCTGGTGGTTACTGAAGAGCAGCGAGAGCCCGTTATCAGTGAGCCGGAGGGGCTTTCAACAGAATGAGTCTTCAAAGAGGAAGATGGAAGTCCTGAAAAAATGATCTGCAGCATGTGAGGCAAGAAGCATCTCTCAGCCCAACATCGTCCAAAAATTCAATATTATTGAAAAAAGCAATCTAAAGTTTAACAGTAATAGAGCGACCATCAGAACATAGACATGAATCACTTTCATTTATCTATTTATTGATCAGTTAAGTCACAAATATATTGATCAGATGAGTTCAGCTCATTGAATGTTTACACAGCCAAATGCGTGCTGCACATCACATTCACTCCTCCCCGGAGGTTAATCAGTTATCTGGGTTTAAAAGAAAAATAACCCTCACAGTTGACCATTACATAAAAGCAGCTTGTTTTCCGTGTTCGCCTGATAGTCCTGCTGTATCGTGGACTGGTTTCATTCACTGGTTCTGCTGGAATCATTTTCTCTGACTGGTTTTCCTTCACCAGGTTCTGCACTCACCGCAGCGGGATCCCTCTCCTCGCGGTCCGAGCTCAGTCCCGAACCCGCTCCGCCTGCAGGTCCGCAGACAGCCGCCGCTCCTCTCCGGTAAACTCTCCGCTGGTCCCGGCGACTGAGTCAAACTCCGGTTCACCTCCTGCTGCTCCTCCAATCAGCGGACTGAATATCCCGTCTGTCTCTCCACCTGCCTGTCTGTCTGTCTAATTAAAACATGCACACTAACGCTCGGCGTGCACTGGTTTTACCATCCTTATGAGGACTGGGCTGAGGACTTCCCTGCAGCGCGAGGACCACGTTTTGCTCGCTGCTGTTTGAAGGTTTCTGCAAATCAGGTTGAATCATGTTAATGAGGGTCTTTGCGAGCACACAACGAGAAAGTAGGTGTGTGTGTTCCGTGAACATGTTTTTACTTTATTATTAGCTTTTTAATTTAGCCCAGTGATTATTTTAGAGTCGATCTCTGAAGGTCAGGTGTGACAAAAAGTACAATTTTACTTATATAGGACATTTCAAGGTAAATATAAAATGCTTCACAACCAAAAAGTTACCTATAAACAAGTTTAAAAGAATGATATTGAGTAATTTTTTTTTAAACAGACTGAATCCACCGATCTCAGGCTGAGAGATGGGGGTGATTCACCGTCCATACGGAGCTCTACAACTACAAACCAGATTCTTACAGTGGACTCTGAAGCTAATGAGGAGGTTTTACGAAGACAAATGAACAATGAACAACAGCAATCCAGGGGTGATGAAATAAAAGCATTAATGACAAAACATTAACATTTTTTAAGTGAGTGAACATCTGAAGTGAAAGCCGAGGTTTCTGAAAAGGACCTGCAGTTTCCTTTAGCTTAGGCACAAATCTGTGCTGAAGGACTTCTGTTTGGTCTTCACTAAGCTGGAGAAAACAGTAACCACCCTACTTTTAATAAAGCATAGGCATATCCGATTTCTGTAACTCAGAAACATCTCTGGGCAGCAGTGGTAAGAAATGCCCTGAAAAGTGCCCAAAATGTACCAAGCTGACCCTTTGTTTACCGACAGCCACCACTGCTGGCTTCCGTCACTTCTGAGTGTTTACCTGCTCAGGTGTCGGACAGGTGTTCAGTGTTTACCTCCTGATGTTTAAACCCACTTTGATCTTCCTGTGTGTAGTGATAACAACATCTGTTGCTAGGGAACATCTGCCTGTAAATATTCAGTGTCAAAAACAATAATAGTAATAAAAAAGTTCGGAATGACAAAAACTTCTTTGAAATTATTTCAGTTTATTTCTGCAGCTGCCAATCATGTCAGCAGAAGTGCATCATGGGAGATGGTGTTTATTTATTAGTTGCCCTTTCTCTCCTTACTTCTGTGTGGAAAATCCACACACTGAAGAAGCTTTTTTCAGCTGCTCCCTTATTCACTACAGCACAGCAGGCAGCTCGACATGTTTTAATTTGCTAGATTTGTATTTATGTCAGATGTCCTACCTGAAGTAACCCCAACAGGCTTTGTGTGTGGACTCTCCCATGAGAAAAACAGACTGTATATAAAAGATGGACACCGGGCATTGCTGTTAGCGTCTGGATTTTGAAGCCATAACCACGAGTGCCTCCAGAATTTTTTTCATATGGGGGCCACTAAAAATATTGAGATGGCGCACCAAAAACAGAACAGTGCAGGGATGCAACGAAGGAAGGGACGACGGGAAATCGTGAAGGCATGACAAAAGAATTGTATACAGTTAATTCAAAATGATACACAATATTTCAACTCACTGTGAAGTGTCTTCCTGTCTCTTGTGCTCATGTTTAAAATAATAACCAACACTGGACAGTCTTGTAAATTTTGAGGGGTGGCCAGTGGCCTCCCTGGCCCCCCTTGGTGGCGACCCTGGCCATAACATTTCTGGCCAAAAATGGCTGGATCTGAAAGGTGCTTCATCAGTGAAGTTCACTATTTTATTTGTTGTTGTCACAATAATAAAAGAAAAGAATAAATCCATTTTATGTCAAAAAACTTTATCTTAATTGCCCCTCAGGGATAAATAACGTTTTTTTGACTTTGACTTGACCTAAATGAAATTTAAACTCAACAGGTGAAAATTCCAGACACGATTTCTACAAGCAGTCATGAAGCTCTCCATTGTGGCTTGATGCTTATAGTCATCAGTCAGTAAGAAGCTTTAACACATCAATCCTCCTGTTTTCCATCAGTGAAAAGCGAGGACATCCCTAAGCTCGCCGCTGTATTTCTACCCCACCCCTTAATTAAGCGACCCTTAGGCACTCTAAACAGAATCACACTCATCATGGACTGAGAAGGTGGACTGGAAACGAGCCAGTGTTTCTGCCTATTTCCAGCAGAAGAAAAGCTTGAACACAACAGTAATGTGTGTTGCACCTGAGGGTAAGACAGTAGAAACAACAGAAACAATGTTTTAATAAACTAAATGAATCCAGATGTGTCTGTAGTGCTAATCTCCCTCTATAAATATCGACATATCTAAATATGAAGAATCTGCAAGCAAGAGGGCCACCCTCTAACCTCTGACCCCTGCTCTTCTGCAGAGCAGCTTCTCTAAACGCAGAAGTATTCAGCATCTGCTCGGGAAAGTCAGGGATGAACAGCGCAGACAGGAGGAGCCACTGACTGATAACCAGTTCTGTGTCTCCACCTGCTGGACTCAAACTGAACTTTATTTAAACAGGAACCTCCTGTGTGAACACAGCAGTGTCATTAAATCCACACAAGACAAATGCTCAATCAGCCTCTTCTTACTGGACAGTTTCCAACCAATCAGCTGCTTGTGTCTTTTGGCTCAGCAGCTGATTGGTCAGTGTCCATTCGAGGCCGTTTGCTGTGCGCCATTTCTGATTGATCAGCATCTCTGAAGCCTTCGGGGGTGATCTGGTATTGCACCATGGTTTCCACGTGACATGGAGACTTAAAGATGGTCGCCAGACGCCGCGACCCTTCCCACTGTAGGAGGAGCCTGATTGTAGGGGCGTGGCCCCAACACTCCCCAAGGGCAGGGACAATGTGCGATTGGCCGTCCCGGATCCGGGTCGTCATCTGGTTGGTGATTACCACTGCAATGTTATGGTTTATTGCCATGGTGATTAGCTGCTGGCCGACGCCATTAAGGAGGCGTGTCCTTTGTGAAAGCTCGTCAAAGAGCAGGCGGAAAGGAAATGCCACACTGTCGATCACCAGGAGGCGGATCTTTGGATGCTGGGACAGGAAGTCAGGAAGTAGATGGAGCTCAGCTAGCAGCTCCACATAGTCATGGCAACGCACCTGAGTGAGGCGAGATAGAGAGCCAATCAGAATTTTAGAAGTTTGCAGATGCGTAGTGACATCACTGCATACATCACTTAGTAGACATTACCAAGAAGATGTTGGACAGGATGGTCTCCACGGTGAAGGTCTCCATGGCGGCTCGTTGCTCATCGTCCTCAGCCAATAAGGAGCAGTGTCTAACAGCGGCTGCTGCGATGTCGGTGACCCTCTGAAGCAGGAAGCTGCCCACTGTGTCAATAAACATCACCTGACCTTCGACCCCCCCGAAGCACTGAGGAACCTGAACATCCACCGCCAGCTGCAGACTGAAAGGGCGACATCATCACTCACTTTACTGATCCACATCACGGTGACTAATTTTCCTCGACTGTTTTCCTCACGCCATCATCACAGCTCCAAAACATCTGTAAGGTTATAGATGATCGTGTGTGTGTGTGTGTGTGTGTGTGTGTGTGTGTGTGTGTGTGTGTGTGTGTGTGTGTATTTCTTACCACAGCTGCGTTTTTCCAATTCCTGGAACTCCACAGACTTCCGTTATTTTCCCGACAGGGATTCCTCCTCCGAGACATTCGTCTAGCTGAGAGGAGAATGTCACGATGCTCCTTAACTCCTCCTCCTTCTGCAGGAGCTCCAGAGCGGTCAGAGATGCTGAGATGTCACCACTTCCGCCTCCTCCTCCTCCACCTTTCACAGCCTTCAGCACCTCCACAGCCTCCTCTTCGCTCAGGCCGGTCTCTGAAATGAAACTCCTCGATAAATCTCACGTACTTGTTTTCTTCCAAAGGCTCAGCTGTGTTTCACATAAAAAGCAGCCTGATGTTTATTGTGATGAAGAACGTGACTCAGTTCAGTGTCAGTGTTTTGAGCACCTTCCTGTCCATAAGTCTGCATTTCAGCAGAATATAAAAGGTAAACAAACAAACAGCTTTCAGCCATCCCTGCTCCTTATTACAAACGGTCTTCTCAGAGGCTATGAGAAAACCATGAGTTACCAGGACGCTGTGAACCTGTTTTAGCTGTGATTTTTACTGCTGCAGGGCTTTATAAGACAGACGAGCTAAAATGTGACACATTTTGATCGGAGTTTTTGGGAACTGTGGGGGGAAATGGAGCGGTACCTTTGCTAAGCTTGTCCGGTTTGAAGTCCAATAGGTCCGCGGTGAGCTGGAAACCAGCACTACCCAGTTTCAGCCTCACAGCCTGGCTCAGAGGCAAACTGGACACCGGTCTCTGCATCTCCGCTGCTAAACGCTAACAGCTTCAAAGCAACCCGCCGTCACCGGCGTGCGTTTCACACGCGAAAACAAAAACTTACATCCGGATTGAATTTCAAAATAAGAGCCGTTTGACTTCCTTCAGCTGTTAATGATCTCTTGTTTCACTTTTTGAAAAACACATCTAATATTGGTCCTGAATCTGGGATCCTCCTGTTTGCAGCATTTCTAGCCAGGTTTCCTGAAGGTTCGATGACTGAGTGCAGAACATGGTTCCTAGGATTTATAAAAGTGAAAAAACAAGGTGGAAGAAATGCAGCTTAGATTAAAGTTTGTAGAGAAAAACATTGCAGGATTTTTAGACTCATGAACCGCCAATGTCCTAAAGATGGAGCTGCGCTAGAATTCAACATCATTTTGTTTTTAAGAAATATTTTACAAAGTCGAGAAAGGATTTTTCAGACTCTTTATTTAAGTAAATATCATAATCTACAGAAGTAACAGTACATGAAGTTCAGCATGTGAAAATACTTTATAACTAATTATTCAGAATCATATCCATGGCACTAATGAATCCGAAATACTAGTCCATTAATGTGTATACCACTTTAATGTTGTAATTGAGAAGTTTTTCATTATTTCTGTACTGCCAGGCAGCGATGGCTATAATAATACAGCAGAACGTAGTAGTAAAATAACAGGTAATACCTAAAGCTTTAATAAAAATGCTATGGAGTTTAAGGTACATTTTGCCCACCTCCCCCAGCTTTGACATCATTTTACACAATAAATAAAAAAATAAAAAAATAAATCTGTTTAAAAAATTGTTTCAACAAATAAACTGCTGGGGAAAGACAAAATTTTTTCCTTTATGAAAGAAGATTATACAACGCCCACCTAATGTTTTATTTTGAAGGCATAACCGGAAGTCAACTGTCAGCTGATCTTTGTTAGTGCGACGCTCTGTTTCGTCAATCACACGCGACGGTTTGCGCACGTGAAACGTAACTGTGACAGAAGTTCGTCAAAGAAATCTCAAAGTAAGCATTTATTGTGAGTTTTAAGTGTTTTAGTTTGAAAAAGTCTGCACGCGGAAGTTATTCTGGGTCCAGTTTTGCTGCTCTCGCGATTATCTCTTCAGTCTGAGTCACGTGCAAACACGTTTTGTTTTATAGAGATGGAGAGAAGAGAGGAAGACGAGGACACGAAGGCGCTTGCTCAGACTGAAGATGAAGCAGAACAAGACGACGAGGAGGAGGAGAAGCGGGAAGATGGTGATTTTGATGATGATGATGATGAGGAGGAGGAGGGAGCTGCTGCAGACAGAAGAGATGATGAGGATAAAGATGTTGGTGACAAAGACGCTGTTGAGGTAAAAGAGAAGAAGAAGAAGGTAAAGAACGTATTTCAGGACAGGAAGTGCGTCCCTGGAATCATCTACCTGGGTCATATTCCTCCGAGGTTCCGCCCCAAACAGCTGAGGAACCTGCTATCAGTGTACGGAGAGATCGGACGCATATTTCTACAGCCTGAAGGTACAAGTACTACCAGAATGCACACAGATATTACTACCACAGTATAACACAGACAGTATGTGGTGCAGATATACTCATTCGATACACACACAACACTAACGAATGAACGAAAACAAACTGTACCTGGATCAGTAATCTAGAGTACCAGCTCTCTGTGCTTTCTGGGAGTGATGGAATTTAAAAAAATGAAACAAGGGTCACTGTTTCATTTTTCACAGTTTATGTCCACCCATCTATGCATTTTCTTCCGCTTATCCGGGGTCGGGTCGCAGGGGCAGCAGCCCGAGCTGAGAAGCCCAGACCTCCCTCTCCCCAGCCATCTCCTCCAGCTTATCCGGGGGAACACCAAGGCGTTCCCAGGCCAGCCGAGAGATATAATCTCTCCAGCGTGTCCTGGGTCTGCCCTGGGGCCTCCGTCCGGTGGGACATGCCTGGAAGACCTCGCCCAGGGGGCATCCTTGTCAGATGCCCGAACCACCTCAACTGGCTCCTTTCAATGTGGAGGAGCAGCGGCTCTACTCTGAGCCCCTCCCGAATGGCCGAACTTCTCACCCTATCTCTAAGGGAGAGGCCAGCCACCCTTTGGAGGAAACTCATTTCCGCTGCTTGTATTCGCGATCTCGTTCTTTCGGTTTATGTCCTGAAAAAAAAAAAAAAAACACAATTAAAAGCTTCTCCTGGATATAAAAATTCCAGAGGGTCCAGTCCAAAAATGCCTTTTTTTGATTAACCTACAGACAGGCAGTGCTCTGAACTCTCAGACTTAAACCTTGTGTGGATGCCTTTGTTATGGAGCGATACTAAATGTTTAAAGCAGAATTTTTCAGCGAGTGTCTGCATTCTGCTTGTTTTTTGGTTCTATTTCTCCTCGAGGGGTTATTTTATACGAAATAAAACACTCCACGAAGCGCACTCGAGCTGTAATTTTACAGTCAATGGTTTTATATCACATGTGGGCAGGAGTCAGCCTTCAGAACATCTCACTTCAGCCCACAACATCCTAAAAGGAAAACAGAACTCCTCCTCCAGAAATCAATAAGAGGCAGCGTTAAGCCAAGATGTCCCGAACTGCAACGGGTCTGTACTGCTCTATAACTCGACTCCAGATTTACCGCTGGCCTGATCATCCCAACAAAAGATTTTTAACTAACAAAGATGTTAGGGCCTTGGGAGGCTAACTGAAATAAAAATAAATAGAGGAAATATCCTTACTTCTAGTCTGTTTGGTGACATCTTTATTAAACATTATTTAAACTCTTAACGGATGTATTTATTGAGACCTTGGATGTCTATAAGACTGAGTCAGCTGCTTTCAAAAAGGTTTGTTTTTATTGAAATATAGGAAACAACATGTTTAAAATTTTTACGATAAATATTCTAAATTTATCACCAAAAAAGTTTAAGGGACCTAATCTGTGTTGAGAAAATGTACACTCAAAGATCAAATGAGTGACAAATTAAAAAACCTGAATCAGTGGGTCTGATGTGGAGTTGGAGAACGTGGCTACCAGTTTTGTGGGTCCACCTGTCCTGTTGGGGGACAGGTAAAGTTCTGAGAGGCTAACCTGATCCTGTGATGGTACGTTTCAACCATGTTAAACACTTGATCTCACACGTCAGCGCTACTGCATGAACAGCAAGTGAGGAAAAGTGCAGCTTTCACCATAGCCCCTCAGATATTTATCACCTGTTAATGTTCGATGCGCTCATCTTGCAGACAGACAGGTGAGGAAACGGAAGAAGAAGGCTGGGCTGCGGAGGTGTGACTTCACAGAAGGATGGGTGGAGTTCAGAGATAAACGTGTGGCTAAGAAAGTGGCGGCGTCGCTCCACAACACGCCGATGGGAACCAGGAAACGCCAGCGCTTCTCCTCTGACCTGTGGTGCATGAAGGTAGGTCTCTTCTTCCCTATTAATGCACACCGATTACGCTGAAAATGCAGACAGACAGTTGTTTAATGTCATCATAGTGTCAAATAATTTGTCTCTACTGCTTACCTGTGTGTCCGCAGTACCTGCACAGGTTCCAGTGGATTCACCTGAGTGAGCGGCTGGCCTACGAGCAGACTGTCCTAAACCAGAGGCTCAGGACTGAAGTTTCACAGGCGAAGAGAGAAACAAACTTCTACCTGAACAACGTGGAGAAGAGCGCTCACCTGGACAAGCTGAGAAAGAAGAGGCAGAGAGACGGAGAGCAGGTAAACGCTGAAGCACGAGCTGAAGCGACGAATGTTAGCCCTGCTCAGGCAGAGACGCACGTTCGCTCTAAAACTGTTTGTCATCGTCAGGTGGAAGAGAAGACGTGGGACTTCACTCAGCGCCAGACGGAGGAGGAGATCCAGATGAAGAAGAAGAGGAAGAAGGACTCTGTTTTGCAGAAGCACCTGAACAAGGCCCGCCTCATGGAGCAGAAGAGCCAATCGAACGTCTCGCTTCTGGCCAAAATTTTCAACTCCAAACCGTCACAATGACAACAGAGAGATGCTTCATGAACTCCTGGACAAATGTTTCCGTAGAAAGTGTAGATTCCTTTCCCCAACCAATCAAAGGCCAGTTTTGGCAGGGGAAGGGGCGGAGCAAAGGGAGTGGAGGAGAACCAATATGGAGGAGTCATTCCACTTCCTTTTCAGCTCATTGTATAGAAATTGTTGTGATTAACTTACAGGTACAGAAGAGGACGCCCAGTGAAGCTAATGGCAGTGCCGCTAACATGTCTGAGTTGAAATACACAACACCTATATTTAGATTTTATTAAAGCAAAGTTGAGTTTGCTCATAAGATGCTAGCATTCTGCTAAAACATGCTGATTGGTCTGTCACCTCGAAGCACGTTTCCCAGTGATGACTCCCAACAGGCGTTACAAGCTTGGTTTAACCAGAGCAGGAAGTTTCCATGTGTGGATCCGGGCTGCTGACAGAAATTCTCTGATACTCACTTCAGCAGAATGTGGTGCTGCGAGGTCTCTTAAACCTTCAGAAAGATATTTGACTGCAGTCGAAGATCCACAGGGCCTCATATGGTCCACGCTACCCTGTGAGTGTCCACTGTGAGTCTGGAGTGGGAGTTCTGGATTATATTAAAATATTTTTGGAAAGATTCAATATTTTTTCTTCACGTGTTATTTTATGTTAATGTTTGTGCGCTGTTCCAGCGATGCAGTGTTGGTGAGCAGACATTTCTGCCTGGGTATCTTTTCGGGATCAGCTCACATGTTGCCAGGCTTGAGGACAGAAGCTGGGGTCATTTCTGAGAGAAGAAAATCACTGGGGACAAATTCTGTGGGCTGGATCTGCTGATCACTGGAGAATTACTATTCAAAGGTCTTGAGCCACTCCTGGTTTCTTGATATTTTGTTAGGAAATTGGGAAACAGTTTGAATAAACTCATGGGTTCATGAGCATGAAATTCGATATTTGATATGACGCCTTTATTTTTTCACCACAGCCTTCAGGAATAGTTCTCCAAAGTTCTTCTTTGGATGTCGGCTGCCTGTTGTTCTCTGTGACGATGATCCCACACTGCTTCAGTGATGATGAGGTG